GAAGACTCTAACAGGTGCCAACCAAAAGGAAACAGTTGGGCGGAGCTAGCTGTCACCGCTAGCTCTGCCCGATTGTTTGCTTTTTTTCCTTTTCTTTAAAATATCTATTATATATCTATCTATAATATTTATTTGACTATTTGTTAAAAATTTTTACATATTTTTCCAACTATTTTTTCCCCCTTTCTTTTCACTTATTTTTTATTTTGCTCGGTACCACGGAGGCACCAAGCAGAATAGCCAAGTTGAATGCGGGCTATTCACTCACTGCCGTTCGTCACCTATGAGAATAGGGGCGAACGGCAGCGAGTGAGCTGCCGGAGCTTTGGCTCAGCCGATCCAGATGTTGGTCGAAGTCCTTTTGCACTTTAGCTTAGCCGAACATGCAGAGCTTCGGCTGGGTTATTCATTGGCAGCTTTGAGAATAAACCTCTTAAATATATTTATGGTCTATCGGTGATTCTGGCATTCATTTAGATGTTAATATTATGTTTATGGAATGCTGGAGTTGAGGTGTTGAGTAACTGACACATTGATAGCTTGGAGAGATTTAAATTGCAACTTTATACGCTTGTACTTTGCAATGACATTGAAATTAATAATTTTGCACGAAGTTCACTATATTAATCTATTTTTGGTGCCCAAAACTGAACTGCATATTCCAGATGAGGTTGGTGCTCCAGTTCATCCTAAAGGTGTACCCTTGTATGTTGACAGCAGCTTGCACTAGGCCATTGCTGTCTATAAGACTGTCAGGATACCGTGCACGGGTGTCCCCAACACCGCATGCAGGTATCTATACGGGAGGACCAAATACGTGACCACACCAGCTAATGCTTATGAACTTATAGTTTAATAGACATACCAAAATCATAAACATAAGCAACCCCACCAACACCCACTGGTAACATAAAATAGCCAAACTAAATACAAATAGCAAAATCACAGACAGACAATAACAGGGCTAGTGAACCTGGGGAGCTACAGATCAGGAGACCTCAGGGAAGGAGTCGGGGGTCAGGGTCCAAGGAGGTAACAGGGTACAGGCAACATGATTCAGGCAACAGGATTCAGGTATGGCGACAATACTGAGGCACCAGCCTCACTTTGAGAAGGGGCTAAATACCCTCCCAGGCCAGCACTAGGTGGAGACTGATTGCCGACAGCTGGGAGACGCCCGCAGGTGAACACCGGAATTGCAGGTTCCAGCACCACCCAGTTGTGGTCTGGTACCTAACAGCTCCTGGCTGCCTGGAGACACCTGCAGGTGAGCACAGGAACTGCAGGTTCCCCAAAACCCCCCAGAGCACCACCTGGAGGTGCTCTGGTCCCTGACAAAGACTTATATACTGTACACCAGGGGTCCCCATTAGGTTGATCACGATCTGCCAGTCGATGTCCTGGGGCTTCTCCTCTGGATCCCCACTGCTCTCCCCCATCTGTATGCAGCGGGGATCCGAGGAGAAGTGAACTAAGAGAAGAGAGAGAGACGCTCAGTCAGGATCTGACAGTCGGCGGCTCTCTCTCTCCTCACCGTGCTCAGTCCTCCGCTGCCCCAGCGACTGCAGCACTTCTTTTACTTCTCCTCGGATCCCCCACTGCCTCTGCCTAGGAGAGCAGCGGGGATCCAGAGGAGAAGCTGAGCCCCCCTGTGTGCGTGGCCGAGTGGCGGAGGATCAGTACATATCAGTGATATGTATTAATCCTCTGTGCAGGACAAACACTGGAGCGATGAGCTGATCACTCCAGTGTTTGTAAATAACTGGGGACACATACAGTAGTACTATGTGTCCCCTGTTATGAATGAACAGGTTGTGATTTACATCACTTCCTGTTCATTCATGAGTTTCTCAATGGGGAGTAGCACTCTGTACTATCATTCAGAAACTGGATGATAGTAAAATAGTTTCTGAATGAATGGGAAGCCTCTGTGCTTTCCATTCATTTAGAACAGAGGCTACAGAAAAAGAGATTGAGGACTTTATGTCCTCAATTTCTTTCTCTATTTTAAAAGGGAAATATCAGGGGGCTGTTTAGATCCCTAATATTTCCCCGAAAGCCCCCCAACAGTAAAAAAATTAATTAAAATTAAATAAAAAATAAATAAAAAATAGTAAAAAATGAAAACAAATCCTGGAGGCGCAGCGCTGGTTGATGTCACACACCTGTTGGGGGGGGAACATTTTTTTTTCTTGCCTCAGGCGCAAAAGGAGCTAGCTACGGCTATGCTCACGCCGTAGTCGTGTGGCTGCCGGCTGAATGTGTTAGACGCCGCAGTTGGAAAGGGGCAGGACACTTCTCCCTGTGTGCAATGTCTGCCATATTCGGCCACATGAGCACTGCCGGAGGACAGACGCCGCAGACGGAAAGGGGCAGGACACTTCTCCCCGTGTGCAATGTCTGCCACATTCGGCCACATGAGCACCATGGGAGGACAGGACGCCGGCACCTCTAGAACGCACTGGAATGCAAGCCGGCTGACTCCCTGGAGGGGGCGTGGGGTTGTATTGAAGTCAATGGCACGCCCCCACCCATCATTTTTGCAGATCGCACTGGACCGGAATGCAGGCACTATAGTGCCTGCCTTCCAGGTGCCGGCGGACGCACTGCGGGTGAGGGGCGTGGCTGCGGTGCCATTGACTTCAATGCACAGCCATGCCCCCTCCCGCCCCTGAATGCAGGTGTTTTTTCGTTGGTAGATCTCATTGAGCTTGTCATTTGAAAAGTAGATCTCCAGGCTAAAAATTTTTGGGGGCGCCCCTGCTGTACACTTTTATACATCATCTTGGAGTCCAGTCAGGTTTTTTAATATACTGGCTGGGTGCTTCTGGAGTGGGGCACAAAAAATGGCTCTTATCTCACTTGCATAGTACTCATCAAGTATAGGTTCGACTGCAACTCCTATGCTCCAATAATGAGCTATGACAATTGGTGGGGTTGGTGGGGGTGAGAAAGTGGCTAACCTTTCTTCTTAGTTAGGGGTAAAGGCTTCCACAGGATCCCTTATCACATTGCCTCAATGTAAAAAATATTTTTAAAAATTGTGTGACACTGGTTATTAGAAATTTTTTTATTTTCACATTGAATTCTCAAGTTAATATCGGGGGCTTATCCAAAAAGAACTTCCTTTTTTTCAGCTAAATTTCTTCTTCATTCAGAACCCTTAGAAAATGATGTCTTTATGCACTGGTTATAGCCACAGAATGAATAATCTTTTACATTTGCCACGCATGTAGAGATAAAAAAGTTATCACATGCAATTGGAAAATTCACAGAAATGTGACACCCATGGTTTCACATCAAAATTAAGGTTAAAATCAATTAAAACAAAACAACCACAGAGCCAGATTAAAAGAATTTCAATACATTTTAACATCATTTTCAATCATTCGGTCACTTGAAACTGGGAACTGATAAAAACTGTGGTTGGCAGATTGCTGTGGATCTTTCCATTCCATGAACATAATTGTGCTGTTGGATATATAGATACAATTGTGGTACCATTCCATGTGGTTTTTCATTCCTTGGTTGTTTTTTCAAGCAAAGCAGATGGAAAGCAAACAAAATTTAATTTGTTGAGCAAATATTGGAGATTTACTATGGTAAAGGAGCATGGAATTCTAGGAGATTCCCTCTCTTTAGCTCCCATGCTCACATGACTTTATTGTTTTACATTCTTGCAGGCCTTGCATGGGTTTAGGACTATTTTTTAAACTCCCCTAGTATCAAGGTGAATGGCTAAGGGATCCAGTCGACAACTCTATAAATTCACACCGCTGATGCTTCTATGTTACAACCCCCCGCCCTTTGAAAGCACATACATCATGATGAAGGGGCCCTTTTTGCTATTGCTGTGCCAGACAACTTGTTTGCCATGCTGTACTAATAACCGTTGGAGAATAGGGTTGGGTATTCTTGTTTAGATCTTAAGCCCAGGAAATCAGCTAACTCATTTCTACTTGACTTTTTATTTTTTAATCTTTTTTCAATCAAGTGCTATTGATTTATATTTGGTAGCAGTTGCTAGGTTACATTGCACTTCTTGTGTGAGGTGGGGATTTCACCTTGTTACGTTTTAAATTGCTTAGTGTCTAACTGTATAATAGACTGGTTGAAGTATCACGAGAACCCAAAACCTTTTTTGTACACAACCTGTTTTTGATATTGATAAATAAAAGCAGAGTCTTACCTTACTTATTTACGCCATAACAGCCTTAAATTATTGTAAGCACTTAAAATCCACCTTAATTAAACAGAATTTCAGGAACCTGTTGTCCATATTTCAGGGTATAGTCTAGTTATTTATTCTGGCATGTGACAAAGCAGGTAACTTTCAGTGACTCACTGCTGGAGTACCTGAAAAAATATGAGAGGCTTGTGCAACAACCAACCAGGGGCGTCCCGAGGCTGGGTGACACCCGGAGCGGTAACCGAGTGTCACCCCGCCGTGACGTCATCGGCAGAGAGAGGAGTGGACAGTTACCCGGCGGGTCCCCTCCTCTCTCCTGATACTGCCGGGCATTCGGTCCGTGACTGAGCCCCTGACTTTTCAGAGGGGGGTCACCCCTCCAATGGTGTCACCCGGGTGCGGGCCGCACCCAGGTGGCGCCACTGCAACCAACCACTATCCATCCATTACCAAATTAAAACTATTGGTCGAGTTTAGCTTGGAATCATAATGTTGAAAATTACAATCAAACTTCGATGCAGTAAACTAACTGATGTCCCATATTGTGAGATTATAGACCTGACTAATGTGTATTCAAAATCATCACAAACTAGATCTTAATTTATAACTACTTTTAATGCTTATACAATATGTGGGCTTCTGTGAGCTTATACATTCATTCATCTACAAAGCATTAAAAAGCTTACACATAAAAGATTCTCCCAAAATAATACCCCATTTCAGGTTAAGCTTTAATGTTACATTCTCAAGTGTATTTTGAGCTAAAGAGATACCAGTGTACATACAATCATTTAGCAACAGTAACAATAGTTTATTTGTCATATTGACATGGATTTGGTGTTGTGCCCCCATTCCCTCCACCACCTCCACCTCCTCCACCACCATCCCCTCCGTCTCCTCCACCACCATCCCCTCCACCACCGCCCCCTCCATCTCCTCCACCACCGTCTCCACCGCCACCGTCTCCTCCGCCACCGTCTCCTCCGCCACCGTCTCCTCCGCCACCGTCTCCTCCGCCACCGTCTCCTCCGCCACCATCACCTCCACCACCATCACCTCCACCACCATCACCTCCACCCCCTCCATCCTCTGGGCAACTATAAACAGGCTGAATAAGTATATCACTAGACTGACAGTCTCCTTTGCATAGCTGCTGCCAGTAAATGCTAGAGCCAGTATTAAGATTGGCAAACCTGCAGTTGTCATACCACCATCCCCCACCACCAATGTATGCACAATTAGACCCTGATAAATCATTGTCACTATCACGGGTAGAGAACCTCATATTATCATGTCCTGCACTAGGCTGTCCAGATGTCATGGCATCTCCAGCATTGCCTGAATATCGTCCCAATCGTATTCGATAGCAACTTTGTTCCCCCTCAAGAGCAAAGGAATCATAGTTGGCTATGTGCTGTGTACCATGGGCAGGACGCAGTCGAAACCGAATGTGGTGCAACTTTTGAAAGCTCAGTAAGTGAATATTTTCATTACCCAGCCAATAGTCACTTTGTGGGTCTCCAAAACCTTTCTTGTAGCACTCCCATGTGGTATCCCAAATCTTTGGTTTTTTTTTGCAGTTTTTCTGTATGACGGTCCATCCACCATCTTCACCAAATTCACAACGTACCAGTAGCCGCTTCCCTTGTATGGGCTCTATGACATATAGACCACTACTTCCATGATTTATTGCTGTGCAGCTTTCTGGGTAAGACTTAGCTGTCAAGAAAAAACACACGTATTTATAATCAGCCCAATAGTGTTAGAAATAAAGGAGAATTACAGCATGATAAATGTACTCATTACCTTTATCCTGCTAATAGTATTCCCTGATTTAAAAGCATAAAAGGGTTGCAACTCACCCTCTCCTATGTTTAAAAGCTTTAAGTGACATTAAAGTAAAAAAATGTCACCCCCATGCTGCTTTAAGGACTTACCTTAAAAGATGCCTCTTGATCTGATCATCTTCTTTCTAGTAGTTTTCAGGAGTCCCTCCAGCGCTGGTGCCGGTTTCTGATCCACCGCTGACTTATGTCTCTTCCTGTTCCTTCCTGTTCCACGGAGTCTGTGCGGGTGCACGCTGCCTGCATTGACTTACCCTGTGTGTAGCCTCTTCTCCCTGCCGAAGATCTCTACTGCGCATGCCCCCGCCCCATGATCCTTTGCGGCTGCCCGAGAATCTTCAGATCTTCGGATGGGAGTGCACGGCGGAGACACAGGTAAGTTTAAACCTATTTGTTAAATTTTTAAAAATGTTTTTGCATATATCTACGGCTTGCTAGCAGTAGATATATGCAAAAACACGCGCAGGTTTAATTGTCCTTTAAAAGCCTTGGTGTGGCCGTGCTTTCCAGTGGCGGAACTACCGCCGGTGCAGGCGGTGCGGGCGCCCGGGGCCTCAGGCTCTGGAGGGGCCCAGCAAGTTGCCGGCCACCGGATCGTTATCCAGCGCGCGGCGGGCCCCTGGTCTCTCCGCCGGGAGTGTCGGATCATCCGTTCATCCGACACTCCCGGCCAGTGTTGTAGCGAGGGGGG